ATAAATACCTCACTACTGTCTACCACTGACAGAGATCGAGAGCCGTTAATAGCAAACATTTTTTGAAATTGTTCTTGTCTTAAATACAAATGCCGTTTTACCACTTTTTACTCTATTTTATAATGGTTATATTTAAATTTCTTCTAGCAGTTTCTCTAGCTATAATCTGAGAACGCAATCGCTCTTGCAAATTGAAAACAAACGTTCATGCATTATGCTTATTTGTAAAACGGTTTGCTTTCTAACAAGATTTGTTACTGGAATATAAAAAATGTTGGATATGTAATCGGAAACGGGTGGTTTTTAAGACAAAATATTATGACTTTTTTCTTTTTAAATTACACAAATATAAAGCGTAAACGTTCTTTGTAGCCAGTAATCACAGTATATTTTTGAATATTTTTTTAAAAATCAAAGCTCTACACTTACGACACGCTATATGCTATTTTGACGCTGTTGAAACTTAGGAAGTGGAAATTGAAAAAAAAAAATTAAAATGTGTGATGCAAGAAAGGGATAAAAATTACAAGATAATGCAGAGAATCTTCTTGGCCTTTAAGCATCTGAATTTTGCGATTGAAAGTTTTACAAATGTAACACAAAATAATGTTTTTTTATTATTTTAATAATGAAGCGGCACGGGAAAGGCTAGTCACTTACAGTCAGGCAAAAGTGTGTAGTTATTGACGGAATTACATTCACATTTCAAACCAAAGTAGATATATAGGAGGCCTAGTTTTAGTCCCTTTCCCTTTCCACCCTTTTCTTAACAGGAAAGAATGGGAAGGAAAAGTGGATTTGACGTTGGAGACGTATAGAAAGGGGAAATGTCCTCTTTATGTGCTACGTCAGTTAAGGGTAGGCAACGTATCTGCAATTGCGGATGTTTATGGGAAGCGGCCGCTTTCCATTTCGGTGGATTCAGGTGGCTCGTTTGCCACCTTATATTATAAAAAAACACTTTATTAAAAATCTTTTATTATTGCAATATTAAGAGGTTAAACATATTGACCATAATTATAATAATGCGTTACTTCAATTAAAACACGGTTAAGATATAATTTCAATAAGTTATATTAAATTTTATTTCCGTAAACTGAAACGCATTTACTCCCGACCTAGTTGGCAGTTTGTGCAATTCGCGTACACCGTTCATATGTAAAACGGGCACGTATAGAACGGTCGCATGTGTAAACTGGATTACTGGATTATAGAACTTTGTCGCTCTAAGTCACAACAATCCTAATAAACTTCTAAAGGTGCAAAAGTTGAAGAGAATATGAATTCTCCTACATCTATACTATTATAACAAAGCGTAAACACACACTTCTTTGTTGCCTAAGATGTCAGCAATTACAGCATATTTTTGAATAATTCTTTTTTTTTAATTAAAAGCCCTACACTTACCAAACGCTTTAGGCTATATTTTCACGCCATTAAACTTAGGGGGTGAACATTTTGCATAAAAACTCTAATGTGAGAAAGAGACCATAAGTTGCTGCCAACATCAAGGTAGCAAGATTGCCAAGGTGTGTCATGTCATGTCATTTTGAAATTTGCTATTGATAATTTGACAAATGTAAACAATAAAAAAAAAACATACAGATGAATTGAGTACCTCCTTCTTTTGAGAAGTCGGTAAAAAGTTTTTCACAATTTCGTGCGGATGAAGCCGCACAGGAACAGCTAGTTGTTGTTATTTCTAAAATGAGTCTGTCTATCGCGCTTTTACATCAA